TTTCTTACGATCTTTAATGTGCCCTCAAATACCTGAAGCACCTTGTATATAAGATGCTCATTTTCATCGAATTGCGCAACTAGAAATTGGAACTGAGTTCCCGCTTCTTCTCTCTAGACTTCAGGAATCACAAACACAAGTATTTCTTTTTCTTCTATGTGCTATGTGCCTTCAGGACGTAGGCGATCATAGCTCTCCACAATGTCCTGTCCTTTGTAGCTCTTAATAAATATTGTCTTTTTGTTATCTCTCCTAAACCTTGTTCCGCCATCCATTTACTCAAGCTCATTCTTCTTCGTCTTCTATGTGCCGTGTCCTTTCAGGACGTTGGCGATCATGGCTCTCCACAATTTCCTGTCCTTTGTTGCTCAAAATAAATTTTGTCTTTTTTCTTACATCTCCGAAACTTTGTTCCGCCATCCATTTACTCAAGCTCATTCGTCTTCTTCTATGTGCCGTGTCCCTTCAGGATGTTGGCGATCATGGCTCTCCACAATGTCCTGTCTTTTGTAGCTCTTAATAAATATTGTCTTTTGTTATTTTTCTTAAACCTTATTCCGCCACCAAGCTTATTCTTCTTTTTCTATGTGCAGTGTCTCTTATGGACTTTGGCGATCATGGCTCTCCACAATTTCCTGTCCTTTGTAGCTCTTAAATTTTGCCTTTTTCGTTATTTCTCCTAAATCCTTTTTTCTGTGATCCAATTACTCAAGCTCGCTCAGTTTGTTACTTGTTGCTTTCCTTTGTCTCTCTTTCTCTCAATCTGTCCTGTGAGTATCAGATTTTCTAAGCTGTCTTTCCTCATTATGTCCCCTAGAAAGTTCAACTGTCTCTTCCTGATGTTAAACATAAGTGTCCATTTTGTTTCCATTTTCTCTAGAATTACGTCGTCGATCCATGGTATCCTCAACATCCTTCTGTAGGATCACATTTCTGTTGCTTCAAGTCTTCTCTTGAACTTGGGGGATATTTTGGAACAAACACATTGCTCAATATTAATGGTCAAATAGACTAGCTACGCATATCTCAGCCTTTTCCCCACTATTTTTTCATTATCTCTAAATTAATATTTAAGAAAATTAAGGTAAGGCTTCAAGAACACCAAAAAGCTGTAACACGAGGAGAAGTGGAAAAATCAGGCATGGCAGAGCACATATGGAGAGAAAAGGGAGATCACCGCCCTCTGTGGAATTAGATTGAGATCATAGACAAAGAACATCACTGGAAAATTCATAAACTTGAGGAATCAGACATATGCTAGGCCATAAAAGTCTCCTGAGCCGACCAAGCATAGAAATGAATACAATATGGGAACCAGTAATGAGGAATGCCAGAGAAAAACGATAATAACAAAGAAAATTGCAATATGAGCTCTGGTAAAAAATGATAACAACAAAAACTGCAATATGAGCACTGGTAAAAATGATGACTGAAGACATTAAGTCCCAGAAGTGGATAATGGTGTTGGTTAGATCCAGTGACAGGACCTAAAGAGTTTTGAGTTCAATACCCGGTTAAGACAGAGGAGAACTTGGAGAGGGGAATTAACAGGAGATAACTGATAACTGCCATCCATTAGACATGGCACGTGGAACTAGAACAGTCTATTCCAGTGAGCGAAATAAAAGATTCAGTTCGACATTCCAACCACCTGAAGAAGGCTGGAGCGAACAACGGCCGAAACTTTGTGATAAATATAGCAACAAAGATGATAGCAAAATCAGTGTCTCACACACTTTTCTCAGTGACTATTCCAGTTCTCTGAATAATATTTCGGTATAATATATCAGCTTGCACGATAACTGTATAACATTTTTAGCTTTGGAAAAATAGTATAAGGCTTCGAGAGTTAAATCATGATTGCACGTGGCCTGCTATATGTCTGCTCCGTGTAAAAATATCAACTATAATGGTTAACGAAATAAGTGCGTTACATAAAGAAATTTAGATTAAAAATAAGGAGAGCATACGTGGAATATTTGACAGAAAATTACACGAGATGTATGAGCCATTCATTGTGCTAGGGGAGAACGTAATATATATATATATATATATATATATATATATATATATATGAAGAAATTTTGAAAAAACAAACAAAAATCCTTAAATGTAGTTAAAATGAAAGAAATGTCGACGTCTGACGTTTCGGTTTAATAAACCTTTTTCAAGACAATATTCATCAAAATACAATTCAGTTCAATATGACAAATACGATGGACATAAAAACACAAGTCTTATTCAGAACAGATAACTGAAAATTTTTAAAATGATCAGCCTTCCGTCTAACATGGTCACGCCGTCGTCACATGGGCGACGCTTTCATAACGTATTCCTAAAAGTTTGTGATTATTTTGAAATGAAAAAGAAAATGAAAAGAATTCTATTAGGTTCTAAAATTCTTATGTGTATGCTTGTCGAGCATCAATCTCGCTAAAAAGGGGGAAATATTAAAGAAACCAGGTCTAGTATTCACCGTGCGTGAGATGGATATTATACC